CTGTTTTCAAATGGCTCCCGGGCGTGTTGACAGACCAGCTCGTGGCTGCTCAACTTTCCCTCTTCCCCTCAAGGTTTGGTGTCCCTCATCACGTGGGCATGAGGCAAATTCCCGAGCCCTGGCTGCCCACCACAGGCATCCTCTGAGCCTCCGAGGCCGGCGCATCCGGCGGTGGCTAGTGTTTACCAAAACCTCTAATTGTACCTTAGGCAGAAGAGCACCGATTTACTCCTTGCTATATTTAGCTTGTGTCTAGGACTGCAAAGGGGATGGGAGCGCAGCCTTTTGTGCCCTTTGTTGCAGAGAGATGACTCGTTTGTAAGGAAATTTTGTAGTTGGGTTGGTGGATAAAGCACTGTAGATGTTCAGGGTTGACCCGCAAAGCGTGAAGTCTCTCTGCCAAAATGTTGGGACCAGCAAAAGCAATGAGGGAGGTCTAAGAAAAACACCAGTAGCAAGAGGTATTCCTGATTGACTGACTCGATGGAGCAGTTCCTTCTTGGTTTAAATATTTTGTAGTTTAATTGTTGGTCAAAAGCATATTATGATGTTCAGAGAGGTGTCAGGCCTGGATAATTCTGCTACTAGATGAAAATGCTACGTCTAGATGTTACTAGATGTGTGCTTGCAAGACTCGGGTGTTAACTCTTGAAGACTTTTCTCCTTGATGTCTCATTCTGCCAGGTAGGAGCTGTTGCAGTGACCTGGCCAGGAGGCAGGAGGGTGCAGAGCACGTGGCTGGTCTTCAAAAGAAGAACAAATACAATAATACCATTGGGAATCCTCCTTTCCCCCAGCAACTGCTTGGTGGGGAATGACCACAAACCATCAGGTACGGAGTAACCCTCTGTTCTGGCGTCTCAGGTAGAGAGTTGGAGAAGAGTGAGCACTGAGAGGGCAAGACTGGTGGTAGGGAGGAGTCCAGGAAGGAAAGCATAAGTGGAGGATCATGGAAGAGTTAACATTTATGTGAGACTCCCTGCCCTCTCTGGGAGGGTGTGTGTCCAGTCCTCCTGCCTCGCCTTTCGCTCTGCACTGCCAGCTGCTATTAATACTTCAGCACATGAGTGTTAAAGCGCGAGCAGAAAGCCCAGGGAGGATATACAAGGGATTTCCGGCAGTTTGAGGCTTTTAGGCAGAGAGATTGTGAGCCAGCATGGAGGAGAAGCCCTCACAGGGGCTCTCCTTAAAGATACATCCCTCCAAGGGAGGCAATGGAAAAGAAGGAGACTCATGTAGGCATCATCTCGAGGGGCTGTGTGGGCTTGGGGTGGGAGGGGAGATGCTCTGCTGCAACTGTCATATGGGTAGTGATGAACTCTGTGTCCTGGGCATGGGCTTTGGCTTGGGAAAAGTGGTAACTCAGAAGGATCTGTGTTCCCCTGTGTTAAACAAATGCAGGTTTTCATAAGAAATAATCAGGGAGGGTCAAAATAGCGCTTGGCAGCAAATGTGGAGCAGCCAAGAGCTGCAGCCAGGGCAGGCAACTCCATATCTACCCAGCTGGGAGAGGGGAAAAGAGGAGTGGGGAGGCAAATTAAAAATAACTGGCAAAGAGCAGGGCAGCAGCATTCAGAGGGATAAGTACTTTCCTTGGAAAGAGGTGCGTCTCCTCATCTTTTTGGGGTTTGCTGTTTTTTTTGTTGGTCTTTTTTGTTTTGGTTTTTTTTTTTTTTTACAAATCAGAAGGAGAATTCTAATCAGTGCTTGCTTTCTTCTCCATCCTCAAGGCTTATATAAATGTAAATGAAAGGTTCTTGGAGCACACAGTCAGCAGAGGCTGTCATCTGCTGGCTGGGTCCTGCCTGGGGGTAAATGGCATAGAGGGAATATAATGGAGTAACACTTGATTGCGCTGTTTGAGTTTGGACCTGTAGTTCCTCCTGTGAAAGTGCTTCACTGAACATAATTTGATTTAGGTATGTTCCGCTCCGCCGCAGTGTCCTCGCCCTCTGTGCTCTCCTCCCAGCTCCCCAGCACTGCAGATAGCTGAGCTTGTGAAAGAACCACTTGAATCCCCATTTTTCCTACCTCTCCAGATCCTGTAAGTCTCTGGCTGCTTCCCGGCACCTTTGTCAATGCAGTCTGAACCTCTGACCCCTGCAGGGACTTGCAGCCTTCATCCTTTCCAGCTCTCTCAGCGGCAAGGCTGGGGCTATAAGGTGATACCTGGCTGCTTTGCTGAAAGCCTGGTGGCCAGCTGTGACTATGGGAACCAGGTAGAAAAGAAAATAACTCTTCTGTTGAATGGAATGCCACAGGAACATAATCACAGCATAAACCCCGAGAGGCGGACAAGGAATTGCAAATAGGAGCTACTTGAATGCGTGCAGGCTTCTGCTGTGCTGTGGCTGGTGACAGCATCGATAGTCCTAAATCTCCTCCTGGCTTCCCACTGGTGTCCCAGGCTCTGTGGCGTGTCCACAGATGGGGGTGAGCTGGTGCTGTCTTCACAGCACCTTCCCTGTGTATCTACATGTCTGTGCACAACAAGGAGTTTATTGCTTAGCAAAGGGCTTGGGCGTTGCTGGGCCAGCCTAGGGAAGGTGTGAGAGAGATAAAATTCAAACTGAGCCTGGAGCAGGGTTTGGTTGACTTTCTTTCTTGTGATTTCCTTCCTAGCTTTCTCTGCACCTGGCAGTGCTTCCTGCTGGTAATGTTTAAACCTGCGAGGTGGGGCGAGGGAAAGCGCGTGTGCCCCCGTGCCAGCCTCGGCAAGCACGGGGCGGTGGTGGAGCAAGGCTCCTGCTTTGTTTCAGCTTCTTGTTTGCAAATGGAAATTGGGTTTATCTTTATGGCAGATAGCAGTTTCTTAAAAGTTGCTCTTGCTTCTTCCCTCTCCTCCTGGGTCTGCCGAAAGACAGCCCTGGGGAGCCTTGAATCCTGAGAAAAGAGCACCAACCAGGGGAGAGTCTTCTCTGCCCCCTTCCAAATCCTGGATGTGCTAAACTTCTCCCCAGGTCCTTTTAACAGAGTGCAATATATTTATCTTTCTGTATATAGACTTGTACAATGTATAGAGCACTAAATACCCGTTTTAAAAGGCATGTGATGAGCTTCTCCAAAACCAAGGAGGGTGAGGGACCCCCAGCGCTGTAATATGCAGGTTGCTGGACCTGTACCTTCAAAGGGAGCAAACCCTGATGGGCATCATGGGCATGGCATGGCCGAGCACCCACATCTCTCAAACACGGGCACCCCTATGGCACTGCTACCAGCGGTGGTGGATGGAGGGCTTTGCTACCACTAGTTCAAACGGAGATACAAGACCGCACCTTTAAAAGGAGTGCATTAAAATTTGCTTGAGGACTTGGAGTTTGAATGAGAGCATCTACCTGGTGCTTTTATGTGCATTGATTATCATTTGGATTCACTTCTCTGAGTGCCTCGTGGTGATATGCCCTGCGAGAAATTATGCCTTTGCCTTTTCCCTCCTCATCACCTGGGCCTTGATGGGTTAAAGTTTACAAACATGTGTGCTGCCCCCATCCCTTCTTCCTTTCCATTCACCTTCTTCCTTTCTTGATACTTCCCCTGAGCTTTTCCCTTCCTCTCCAGCGTAAGGAGCTTGGCAATAAAGGCTGCTTGGTGGAGGCGTTGGACTGGATTTTGTGCTGCATGAGGCCATGTGGCTCCCTGGGATCCCTGCTTTGTGTTTGGCACCTTTGAGGTCTTGGGCAGGAAGCACGGTTTTGGTCTGTGCCTGGGAAAACATTGCTTATTGTCCCCTCTGTAGTGCCTTAGGCACTGGCAGCAGGATCATGCAGAGCTTTAATAGCAAGTAGAGAAAGAGCAAGAGTTTGGGAAGGAATTGAATCCTCCCTGCCCAGGGAATAGCCCACTGGGGATTAGAGAGAAACTTCCCTAATGGATGGACTGTCCTGGGGCTGCCGCCCACCAGCTATTTGTTGTGCAGTGAGGGTCCTGGCCTGACCCCACCACTTGGTGTTAGCTGTGTTCCTCTCTCTGGTTTGGTGACAGTCACTCTCCATCAACTCCTGCATGGGGAAACATGCAAGTTTTCTGGGACTTTTCATACTGAAACACGATGCAAGGTAGGTCTGGACTATCCAAAGGTCCTGGCAGCACCAGGAGTCTTTCCTTGGAAGTTTATTCATCCAGCTAGGAAGGAAATCATCCTTCTGCTTATGCTATGGGGGAAGGTGACAGGCTCTGTCCCAGGTGTTGCACTTGTGATTTTCCGTGTGTGCTGTGAGCATTTTGGGACAAAAAGCGTCACGTGTACAGTGCTGAGCACACGAGGGTGTGCTGCCAGCGCGCCTGGCTCACGTAGCAGCTGTGCCATCCCGGCCTCTGGGCTGCGGGAGGGGATGGCTTGTTTGCCAGCTCTGGGGACAGAGGCTGTGCCCTGGCATCTGGCTGGGTGACTCAGGCTCTGTGCTGTCAATAGGAATCGGGGGTGGGTGACACGGGAGGGTCGTGTGGGGCAGTTTGGGCAGCGTGGGCACCGTCTCGGCAGAGGTGCTACCGTGACGTCCCCGCTGCCTGCCCTGGCCACTGGCCAAGTGGAAGTTTCCAAGTGGGACCAGCCCATCGCCGCCGCCGCGCATCCCTCCATCCCGGCCAGGGAGAGGGGAGGATCTGTCCACGGGCTGCTCCCCTCCCTCTGCATCCCCGTGCCCAGCCCTGGGCATCGCAGGGAAGGAAAACCGCTCTCCCATCCCACCTCTGCTCCTCCGTGGGACCCAGGAGAAGACCGAGGACTTCTGCCTGGGGCAGAGGCTTTCGCTATCACTTTGCAGAGGGGGAGGAAGGCGAAGCAGGGGCTCGGTGCCAGGGCCGGCGGCAAAGCTCTCCGGCGGGTCGCACGGGGCGAGTAAACGTGTGCGGCGCTCGGGTCCTGCCTGGCAGCAGCAGCAGCAGAAGCCCATGATGCTGTGCTGGGAATGAAGTCAGCCTTCATCAACCCGAATAGTTTATGCATGAATCGAAACTTCAGACCTGGCAGGGTGGGGAAACGCGCAGGATCTGTGGTGCTCTTTTAAAATGCTGGAGCCAAGGAAGGAGGAGGGGATAGAGGAAATAGCAGGAAAATAAGACTGGGGAAGCGAGGAGAGATTTGAGAAGCTGGATGAGTTGTTCGCTCTGTTATTGCGAGGAGCCAAGTTCCTTAAGCATCTCCTGGTGGATATTAAGAGGGAGCTGTGGAGGCTGGAGCGTTCCCCTGGACACTCGCACGCTGTAGCTTTAAGACTGTTTAACAGAGGACTCGGGATTTCCAGTTTTCCTGCGCCTGGTGGAGTATTTCAGGGAGTTACGAGATTTTTTCGGGTCATGCACCCCCTTTTTCCTTTTTCTTTCTCCTTTCTCTTCCTCCCTTACTCTTCCTTTTCATTTCAAAGAGACAAAGCTACTTCAGTTTGGAGCACAAACATATGATCAGCACATGGAAATGTGGTAATTTGGATGCATTCATGATTGCAACAGATTGAAGAAATTAGACCAGACAAAGAGCTTTTTTTGGAAGAGGAGGAGGAGGCAAGGCAAGGAGGGAGGGAGAGTGGGGGAAAGAAGGGGACGCCACCGAAAAAAGGGACGGCCGTGACACGCGGATGCTAAATATATCCTGTAGTAATGGAGAAAGACCGGATTTCAGGTAGGCTATTGATCTTTTAATACGTTATATTCTGCCTCTGCACTCCTACCTTTCCAGGAGCTTCTGCACTTTAAGAAGAGAAACTGCCACGCTCCGGGTGGATTTCAGCCGATTCCTTTATTTATTTATTTTTTTACAACGCTTCCTTTCTGCATTTCTTTTTTTTTTTTTTTTTTTTTTTTTTTTTCTCTTATCCACCACTGTGTTGAGCCATTTGGACCCCATGAACATTGAAAACTACAGAGGAGAAAACCCTGAAATTGCTCAAGATCATGTCCTTGAGGCTAATGGCTGGGCAGAGAACTCGAAATGTGAGTTTTCCTGGCTAGTTATCAACTGGATATTCAAGATAAAATTTTG